TTATAAATAAAGGAAACACTGAGGTATATTCCAATAGTACCCTCAACTATTATACCCAATTCTTAATTGTAACCCCAATTTAATCAATTATGTCCAAAAAAATCCAATTTTGACCACAAAAATTCAATTTTGACTTTTTTTTGGAGCATACTTTAATATGCTCCAATTTCATCCTTTAACTTAATTTAATCTCAATTTGACCCCAAATTTCACAAATTATTCAATTTTGACTCAAAACTTTTTTTTTTCATAAACATTTTTTTTTCAAAAAAAATTTTTTTTGGCGCCGGTCTCCGACGTTGACTTTTCAATTTTTTTTATTATTTTTTTTATTTTTGATCCGCCACCACCAGAGACCGCCGGACTGCGGCGTTGACTTTTTTTTCCTGAAATTTTTTTGGGCCGGTCAACCACCGTTGATCGCCGGTCTCCGGCGTTGATTTTTTTTTTTTTTTTTGATTTTTTTTCCTAGAAAAAAAATATTTTAATTAATATTACTGTCTTGGCTACTAAATTACTGTCTCAGACAGTAATATTACTGTTTGGGACAGTAATATTATGAATATTATTTTCCCGAACAATAATATTATTAATATTATTGTCTAAGACAGTGAAATTACTGTTGGAGACAGTAATTTAGCAGCCAAGGTAGTAATATTAATTAAAATAATTTTTTTTAAGAAAAAAAAATTCAAAAAAAAAGTCAACTAACAGTTAAATTCCTGAAAAACAATTTCCGAAAAAAAAAGTTTTCAAAAAAAAAAAAAAAGTCAACGCCAAAATGTGGCCGGAAAAAACAAATTCAGAAAAAAAAAAATTGAATTTTTTTTTGGGGGGTTAATGTAATATATTTGTTTAAATCCGGGGTCAATGTGTAATATTAAGGAAGTTAGAGCATAATGGATGGAATTGATAAGCATTATACTATGGAGGGTATTTAGGACTAAAAACATGGAGATGAGTTTAATTGAGAGGCTGTTTTTTTTGGACCAATGTGCATTTAAATCTCATGTGATGGGCTTTTTTGCCATTCGGCCTATAAAGATAACAATCTTAGGGCTCGTTCGGTTACCGCTATAAGATTCTGCTGACTAAATAGTAGGGGCTAATAACACGTCCGGTTGGTAAGATTCACATTTTTTCAAACCCGCTACTAAAATCAAAGCCCGCTATTAAATACTACTATTTCATTAAATTAGTAGCACCCCTCCCCCTAAGATTAATTTAAGGCTGCGGCTATATGCAATACTCATTCCACTTGTGCAAGACCAAATTAAAGAAAGATTTCCAAAGATTCTATTTTATTAAGATGGAATGACAAGTATGCCCATAAATTAAATTGGCTTTTTTTTCTCGTGTGAGACCAAATACAAATAATGAGAACAAAAACCAAAATCGACACCAAGGTGTCGAAAAATTATGCTACAAATCGACACTTAAGCGTCGAATTTCATAGATAAAAATCGACATTGACATGTCGAATTTGTAGCACAAATTCAAATGTCGAATTTTATACCTCAAAATCGACATCTAAATGTCGAATTTTATACCTCTAATTCGACATCTAAATGTCGATTTTTACCTGTAAAATTCGACCTGTACATGTCGAATTCGTTTGCGCGGGATTTTTTTGGAAAATCGATATTCTAGCTAAAAAAAACCCATAAATGCATACATTCTTGGGTTCTTCCATCGTAGAATTTTCTATTTTGATGTTTTCTGACTCCATACTTGCCATCTTTGTAAGATTTGTTGAGTTTTGATGATTTTGAATTTCTAGGTTTTGTGGGTTAATGGAGGAGGAAGGAGAAAGGTCTTGTGAGTTTTGGAAGATGGAGAAGATGAAAGTTGGTCTTGTGGTTTTGTGGTCTTGTGATAGAATTTTTTGTGTTTTTTGAATTTTTGGTCTTGCATATTTGGAATTTTTTATTTTTTTTAATAAATAAGGGTATTATAGTATTTATACATTGAAAATTTTAATTTGGTCTTGCACAAGTGGAATTAGTCTTGCATATAGCCGCAGCCTTAATTTAATAGGGGGTGACTAAAAAGGAAAAAATACAATTTTATCCTTAAATTCATATTTTATTATTGTAAACTAAGTGGTTTTATAGACAATTCATATATAATAACTGATTTTAACAAATTTAATAGAAAATCTAAACTAAAAAACCGAACATGCTACTAACTAAATAATTAATTAGTCAGTAGGGAGTTAATCCCATATCATGTAATCCAATCTAATCCAATATAGGTAACCGAACGAGCCCTTAAATTAAAATAATTTTAATTAAGAGACTTTGAGATAATTTTAAAGTTACCTGTATGGTCAATATTTGTACGTGAGACGTACGCTACTGCCGGCGCAAGCTAGCAGTTCAATCGACCACTAGCTAATAACCTTGCTCGGAAGCAGTGTAATCATTCGGATGCTCAAAGTCCACTCTTGCTAGTAGGAATTTAGCATCGACGCATGAATTCGATTTCTATCTGTGCAGCCATGCTGGGATCCAGGTACAATCTTGTAGCACTTCAAATAATTCGTTGAAAATTTCAGCTTGTATTATACATATATATCTCGATCTATACTTTGTTCGAATTATAATACATTATTTTTTTGATAATTCTGGTCTTGATAGGGAACTAGTCGTACAGCACATTACCATGTGTTGTACGATGAAAATCGGTTCAGTGCAGATGCACTGCAAATTCTTACAAACAACTTGTGTTACACGTAAGTATTCGTTCGTTATAAATGTCGAATACAATCATACTTTATTTTTTATATACTTCATATAAATTAACTTCAATTTTTTCGTTTTTCCCCCTCAGATATGCAAGGTGCACTCGCTCAGTTTCCATAGGTAAGATATACAGCTTTCAATCTGATTATAATCTTTCAAATCGTTTTGTTCTACTCAGTTACTCTTTATATTAACTTGAAATTGATTGTCTGTTGTGCAGTCCCACCAGCTTACTACGCACATCTTGCTGCATTCCGAGCCCGTTACTACATTGAAGCGGGAGAATTCTCCGACAGTGGATCTGCTGCAGCGGGCCCCGGTGGAGCGATGAGGGAGAGGGTTGGAGAGGTTCGGGCTCTGCCTGCAATTATGGACAATGTTAAGGATGTCATGTTCTACTGCTTACGGGCTTGACTT